TCTATGTGCACGAAACGAAACATTTCTATATTTGAAAATAAAATTATATTTAAATAATTTTCAATAACTTTTTGAGTCCTATGCCTTATACGTTCCTGAGAATCAGACTGTAATGCTTCCCATTAGGTTGCGAAAGTCGAATGTTGTCCAGCTGAGAACAGAACCGGCTTGAGACGAGATAATACCCTCCTTTGTTGCCTCCTTCCAGAATCGTCTTTGCCGGAGCTTTAGTCTATCCTGTGAAGTTCTGCTTATTACCAGATAAATATTTTAGTAAGACTTTTTTAGTCTTTAGGAGGTTTATCCTTGGCGCCGACTTCGAAGGGGAACAGGAGCTCCCCCCGGAAAAGCCTTGGGCGGCGAGAACAGACACGAACCCGGTGGACGAGGCCGACGCCTATAGTAAACGCCTTCGATTGACCACAAGGGAACCGGGGATGCCCATCCGTCCCGGCAGAGTCCGAGGCTTGCGAATTCGAACAGAGGCCCTCATAGCGGGTTGGACCTTCAAAGCCACTTTCTGGACGAATTCCAGAGATGATGTGTACATTCCTTGAGCACGTAAGGTGTCACCAAACCTCCCCATTAATGAATTAATCCAGATCACCCTCACTGGCAGACTTGCCCACACGATGCAACCCTGAGAGACGGAATCCATTGCATGAGGACTTAGCAAGATTTCAGGCCCTATCGGAAAACGTCCAGAGAAAACGTATGACCGCATACCAAATTCACACTCCGAATCAGGGTTTCATCCAATTCAAGCGAATTCCGAAAACAGTGATTCATGGACGCGGTCTTGCTCAGAGAATTCTACAAAGACCTGCATCACACGGAAGAACAGACATAGTAAGTTTACTGCTTTTGATGAGATTTGAAATTGGGAGAATGGGACTACAGCTGGTCCACAACCCACGCCCCATGCCCTCGACTCATGCCGCGACGAATCGATTGAAAATCAAGCCATCACATCCTTCTTGGTATCTTCGTAAGCAGGCCCTGTCGAATCCAGCTTCTTCTCGCTCATCTTTCACATGCTCAGATTCCACGAAGTCCCTTTTCCTCACAACCTCGATCAATATTTCGTACCCGGACGTTCTTCCAGGAACGTGTTTCTCAGGAACCCTTCGCGGCACTTCAGCGCGTTTACTTACATTATCAGAAGCAACTATGTAAACCGCGTCTTTCCGCCTCTATACCCTCAAAAGAGGAGTCCTTTCCGAGCCGCTTCCTCCTCTTATCCGAATCATCACTCGAGTGCAGAATGGCAAAAAGTACCAGAAGTCTCGTCGAATGAAATCCTCTAAAAGCATAAGCGAGATGAGGGATTCAACCCCCTTCACAAAACCGAAAGTAGGTCAAAATTTCCTGGACGTGACTATGTCCAGGAGTAAAAAGATTCGCTTTACTTACTTTGACAGTCGTTTCGAAAAACTTCACCCCGAATTATGTCAAATGTAGATGTATTTCCTGAAACCGAGAAGTCTCTAACAATGTAAGTAGGAGGAGCCTGATTTACCAGTTCAGCAAAAGCACCAGGACCTTTGGGGCTTCCAAATGTTTGCAGTCGATTTCAGCCAACAGTTTTAATGCTATAATTTCTACTTAGACTGAAGTACTTTTTTTGTTCCTGCAAGTCATAATCTGAACTGTTTTGGCCCCACAGACTCGTGTCAAAGCACCTTGATTTAAGAATACTGTACAGTACTTTGGGATATCAATTATCCCAGAACTCTAGCGTATGGATGTTTCATTTTCTGATGACACGAATAGGTAGACACGGTGAATCCTATCCACCTTTTTGGATGGTAAATAACTCATGACTTATTAGTTTTCCGATTGTAATCCGGTTTAGGACATTTGAAAGCCAATAGAATTTTCTACAATTAAATGTAACATCGCATTCATTTTTTTACAGGTAACTTAGAGTAATATGCCCTCGTTAACCCTGAAATAAAGAACAAGTCTCGTCGAACATTACTTTGAGTTATGGTGAAAGCACAAATGGTGGGCCAATTATAAAAAAAAGACCTCGCTGCAGCTGGTTTTAAAGTCAATGCAAGAAAAAGGACATTCTGGCAGACCTCGTTCAGTCCATGTGAATGAAAATTCAAAAATTGTGTCGAACATCTGTCATCGTGAGGTCGATGACATCGTCCAAAGGTTGGAAGTATACATGCGACAGCTCGCTTTCTTCGGGCTGTAGTGAACACGATGGTCGAACTGGTGTGATGAAGATATCCAGAGACCTATTAATTCTCCATGTTGGGCTTCAGGGACTGTTTCTCCATTCACTAGTGGCTTTGGAAGGGTAGTAGTGATGCGACGTCTACTCATTTTCGAACTCGAAATCAAATTGATTTAGGACTTCAGTGTCGATTTTCCTATGTGCGCAGCTTTGGAGGATTGCGAATGATCAAGGTGTGGTGGGCAGATTTCCCCAAGCCAGCCAGACGGGAGCATGGGAAGGCTCGTTCAGTAATAGAAAAGTTTGTCAAGGGTGTGATTTCTGCGGAGGAAGATACACGATAATGGAGATCAGCTTCGTCAAGAGCATGTCAGTTTTGATTGAAATCGCCAATAAGCACGATCAGGGTATTTGGCGAAATCACCTTCACTGCTTCTTTCACTTTTTCATTGCTGAATTCGGGGATACAGGTGTTCACACGGAAATATAAGAAAATGCATTCGATAGCTTCTTTGGTCTGAGTTTCAGCACAAGTATATCCTTCAGGTTGTTTTGGTAACATAGGCCCGCATGCAAGAACCTATCACTTGATAGCCTATCATATGGTAGCTATCATGATAGGTATAAAATGTTTCTGCATATGGCCAACCTATTAAACTTATCATGTGATACCCCCCAAAAATAGCTATTTTGTCGGTTTTATACGTTCTTGCATACCAGCCACAGTGTCAGTAAATTCATTTGCTACGGAGCATCAGTCCGTTCGCATGTAGGTCAACACGCCACCATAGCCATCCTCTCTGTTCTTAGTGAAGTACACGTATTCACATAAGTCGATAAGATGTGAAGGGAAAGCGTCGCTTGGCTAGGATGAAGCGGATATCAGGGGCCTTTTTTTATCTTCTAGGATAATCTTCAACTGGGTTCATCAATCTTATTCTTACGATTCATCACAGTAGGGTTTTGTAGTGCTCTGGCCAAAAATCGGTATGAACTCGAACAATTGCTACACACATATGCCCACCGAAATACAGGGTGTTTCAAAAGTCCGGACTCATAGGCAATTTCATAACTTACCTTTATTTCATTAAATGTTCAAATTGCATGCCATGAACTTGCATACACATATCAATCCTGGCACATAACCCCCTCTGAATATTTCTAAGTACTTTTGTACTAATTTTGGTGCACTCATTCATTGAGAAATTTAATTAATTCAAAATACCCATGAGTACGGACTTTTGAAACACCCTGTACATGTAACTTATTGGCATGAGTTTTTCAGCTTTTCTTCATGACGCCAAGAAAAAGCATAAATATTTTGGAGATTAGTCTCACTGGTTATTTCATAGGGTCCAACACACCTCCGGAACAAGAGTCAAATAAGGAGAATGGGAATATCTCAATTGGATGCAGGAAGTGTCATACTTATCAGAATTCATAAATGTATCTTTTTTCCATGAGGTCAAGCAACATCAATGCTGCATCATTTGCCAATTGGAGCTATGCAAAAAACGTCCATAAAAAAGTGTCTCACACCTAGCGAGTACCTTGCCCCTCCAGACTGCTTGAATATAAAATCATGGATACAATACTCTTCAGAGTGACCTCCGTTATAGTAATTATTGGATTCACAGTATACTGGCATGAGACTCAACTCAGGACAATAAACTCCCAGTCACTTTCCGTAAGAGCTTTTTAAATGTTTCAGTGATCGTCAGTGGCCATGTTTATGCAGTTAAGCAGTGTTATGGAGAAAGGAAGAAAAAATTGAACAATGAAAACATGGCCACTCATGAGATATTATCGATTCTGTTGATTTGGCCCTTTTTTTTTAGGTACTTTAATGTTATGGTTACTTTTGCCAGAAGCAAGCACTGACTTGCTTGATTGCATGCATGACATTGACAACATGTACCAGTATCACGAAGAAAGAATAAGCCATCCCTGCAAGCCGCACAACTTTCTGAACTACTACTGAACAGTTACTCCCATTCATTGTCATAGTTCAATGAATGGAAGTATACAGGTCATACCAAAAAGGACAAAGATTCTTATTTAAATATAAATATCCCTCTCGAGATACTTTCATGGAATTTGCTATATGTACATATTCATAAATTCCCAAGATATCTTCGAAATTTCACCCAAATTTGTTTGGCCAAAGCAAGGCAATTATTCAAAATAAACCAGATATTGAATATGGATCCTGCCCTTTCTGAATGAGAAGACTTGGCTTGCCTTGCTCTCCAATGTAAAATGAAGGAAAACGTATTCCAACGGAAACTTAGGGTGGATTTTTGAACAGAGTGCTATCTGATAATGCTGCTTTATTTCCAGGAAATATCAAGTATTTTCCCTGGAATTGCATTATCAGGTAGTTCTCTGTTCAAAAAGCCAGCCTTAATCATTAACTGCAAAAAGAAGCCATTAAAACCATCTGCAAGAATAGGACAGCTCAATAGAATGAATTGCAACCCAAGTTCAATGTGGACTGGATGATATGCAATCACAGCACTAAGGCTTTTACTTCACTTGGCAACCAGCATGTGCATTTCACTTACAAGATTCAACTTCTTTAACACATTGACTGCCATGGCAATGCAGGCCTATTGATTTTTCCATTCAGTGAGGCGCACCGGTGCACCTCGTGGCGGTCAACCTGTTAAAAAATTCTGTTTGAAACATTCATCTACATACATTGCAAGTTTCATGAAAATGGCTCTAAAAAATAGTATATATATATGGGGTAAAAAAGCGCTTGTTCTTTTTCTTGCCTTCCCCTTTGATGATAAAAATGCAACACAAGGGACAACAGGAAGCAGCCGTTTATTTTCAGAACAGCTGGAGAAATAGAACTTGAATTTGACAGGAGCCTGATCACGCAGTTTCCATAGATTCCATAGTGTATTTCCCCTTGTCCTTTCCCAATGCCACCAGCCTTCCTTTTGCCCTTCGTTCAATGATTTTCTTGCGGTCTTTATCCATCTTCAGCTTCACTATCACCACCTTGCTAGGATGGATGGGAACATTCACAGTGGCTCCATTTGCCTTCTCCCTTTGGATTCTCTCGATGTGGATGGCAAATTTCTTTCGATACACCTGCAAAGAATAGATGAATAAGTAGCCCCTTGTCTTAAGATCTGTGAATATAATCACACAACAGTATCTGCACTATGAACTCCAATCTATGGATCCAATATGAGACAGTTTTCAAAGTAAAGAAAACTATCACCCAAAATGTCAATGTCTGAAGCCAGCTCTAAGAATATGTACAGGTTGACCCAGAAACCCCTCCACAAGTTTAATTGAATGGAACACAAATGGTAAGAAAACAACACTCAAGAATAATATTGCAGGTCTTCTTAAATAAAAGTTAAACCACATATATCTGGGTGGGCATTGAAGTTTCAAAGTGGCATCTGTTCCAAGTGAACCTTCTGTATCAAAGCACATGTGACATTGATGGGGAAAATCATACATTGCTTTTTTCACCATAGGTAAAGGAATATTAGTAATTTAGTAGTGAATGGCTGTCATAAGATCTAAGACATAATGGGATTTGGTGACAACCATCTTCTTCAGATGGTTCTGCTGAAAAATGATAAGTAACACAAGGTCCTTATGCTCCAATGCAGAAGGGGGTCACTTAGAATGGATGCCTCATTGACATGTCAATGCCCACATGGATTTCTGGTATAACTTTTTGTTAACCTTCAATACAGTATATTATTCTAGAATATTGTTTTATTAACCTTTTGTGCTCCATTTAATTTTATATGTGGAGGAGTTCCTGAGGCACCCTGTACATGCCCATTGCAACAGGAGAGCTATCACAGATATAAGCACCTCTATTGGCTTGATCAAACTGCCCCCCTTCAACTTTGCAAGAGTGGCAAGTCTATAACATATAATTGGCAAGTTCAGAGAATAATTATGTCTTCTGAATAGCACATTCAAGATAATCCAGAGTGTAGATTCATTCCCTCACACTGGGAAATTAAACTCAATATCCTATCACCAAATATGTTAGCCTTGTACGGTTAATGATGAACCAAATAATCACAAGCCTTTTGCACTAATGATGAAGACACAAGGAAATGAAAGGATTTTCTTTTTCAATTTTGATGAATGAGTAGACAATTGATACTTCCTTGTGAAGCATATGCAACAGCTTATTCAAATGGCCAAACTAATTCCTAAGGTTGATGAGGATCTTCAACTAATATGTAGCATTACAACAAATGAATAAATTAGGTATTCTACCTGGATGACTTTTCCTACTTGCTGACCCTTATGATGGCCTCGAACAACCTGAACTTCATCATCTTTCCTGATGGGCATTGAGCGGACATTGTATTTCTGTCTCAACTCCTTGGACAAGGGGGCACTCATCAGTCGCCTCCTGATATGACTTGGTGAATTGAAGTATAGTTTCCGCTGCTTCCGCCTTGAGCTTGTCACTGCCTTGTTCAACTTCATCTGCAAAACCAGAGCATATAGAAAAAAACATCAATAAATGGTGCCTTAACATTAGCCAATGTATTCCAGCATGAAGTGCTTGAAAAGCATGTACCATATGATTGCATTGCCCAAATGGGAGGGATGGAGAATTCTATGCTCACTTTATCCTGATATAATGGAAAGAACAATAACTGAGTTATCCTTCTGCTAGCTGGATATAAATACCTCCACTTATAAGCTTAACTGATTCCTCCAAGTGTGCCAGAACCCAGCAGTCCCCAGAGCTGAACAAGAATGAAGTGTACTCTCATATAATAAGTAATGAACAAGCTTTTTTTTTATACTGCTAATCTATTGAAAGTACTGAATGAAAATACTGTAAAAAGATGCTCATAGCAATAATGTTAAGCGAGAATGTGCAACACCTATTAGGAAATGAGTAAGCTTACACAAGTGACAATCAGGTATGGAATTGACAGCTGATGGGCATATATTTGGACCCAAGAATATCAACTCTTGATGAATCTCACATATATTGAGGTTCATTTTTAAGTAACTCACAAAGTGACCCACCAGCTTCAATCTCAATTCATCTTTTGAGCAATTGGCTCACATGGCTGATTGAAGCTAACAGAGTAAGTCCAATCCCAGACTGAAGGGTCTCAAAAACACACTTGACCATGTAATTTGACAAATTTTTATCACTATATACTATTTTTCACCTCTATCAGGCTCAGGCCTAGACTCTGAAAATTCCAAATGTTCAACACCAAGTAAATACTATTCCTTGAAACATAGAGGAATAAATACCTGAAATACATTAAATCTTGTTATAAAATTTGACATTCATATGACTTACCCCACTAAGCTTTCCACAAGACATTAACAAGGGAAAGATGTTTTAGAAGAACAATGAGAAAAAACATTCAAGAATGGCTTCATCTATTGTTTATTGCACAATCATTTACTCTTTGCAGTCCGTTTTATTTGCAATGCTATAAAGATTGTTGGACATGTCTGACAGTGGACCCAAGAGAACATGTCCATCAAGTCCATGAGAAGCACAGTCAAGCATGGTGCAATACTTTTGCACTTTTATTGCAAACACTGGTCACATAACTTAGTCCAGAACATGATATTTGATACAATTCACCATTAAAGTGACTCCTGCCAATTCATGTCCTGGACTCAGACCTAGTATATAAGCATTTATTCAGTTTGTCTCATCTGTGGTACTAAGCCATTATCTAGTTCTCTCCTCACTAGCAACTGGGTCCAGTTCCCTATGACATAATAATAGTTTGTCACCATTTCTCAGATAACTTTTGAGAAGTGTACCAAGTGTACTAAAGCTAGCTTGTGAGAGTTTCATAAGAAAATTTAAATAAGAATAACAATTTATATTGAGCTAGAAGTGAGGATAAATGAACATATCCTAGGGTTTCATGGTCTGATGAATTTTCAATCTGCTATAACCATAAGCTCTCTCCAATAGACTTTTGTGAGTGCACAAAGTCAATGGAAGAAGTCATAAAAATGCATGTCCTGATGCTAAGGGGGAATGTTGGAACTAAAAGCCCTAACGTTTGACTAAAACAACGACTGATTTCGACAATGCCTGAAAATATAAACAACAGATTTTAATAGTGGAGTATTATGCGTAGGCCTGACCAAACCAGGCCAAGCGAGGATGAGGCTTTGGAAATTTGGGCATATGTTAAGCATAGGCGTATATTAGGCCTATCGTAGGCAAGGGTCCTCAAGGCGAATTCACGACTCAGATAAACTTAGGCCCCACGATTATTGTCTTTGATGTCTCCATTTGTAACGACTCACCGCACAGCCGGTATATTTTCAGCAACTGTTTCTCACTCAACTTAAACGGAAACACAACAAAATCATCCGGAATGAGATGAAAAAGGGAAAAATACTCACTTTTCCAGGGTACGGTGACCCGAAGAGGCACCGATAGTCCCACTGGAGAGTATGGAGGAAGGAGTCAAAAGAGCATATTCGATTCCTGCTAATGTTGGCTCATATTCTCCTGCTAAGGCCAAGTTTGCAAGACTAGTTGAGGACAAGGCATATATAATTTTTTAAATATCCTTTCTTGGTCATATACTGGGTATAGGCCTGCTCGATGCGAACATCAATATAAAAGTGCTATTATACACCTATACTCTAATGCTAATACCCGTACTCTTTCGTCAAATCAGTGACATCAAGTCATCACGACTTACTGTGAAGTAATAGCATTGTATCTGTTGGAATCAGTTGTTATTAAATTGCGTATTGGTATTCTATGAAATGCGCATTCTGTTGTCTTCCGATCCTGAGGTTGCTTCAGGTTCGATGCCTTGTTACGGAGTGTAATATTGCCTGGCTCTTTAGTGTTCGGCCGAATCCAGAGAGGGCAAGCATAGGTCAGAGATTCCCGTGTTCACCCTTCAATTTCAAGGCAAGAAGTTGCACTTTAGTCTTGCAGCAGTCATAGCCTCCACGAGAATGATTCTCTGACATATAAAACGTGGATGGACTTTCCTCAGACATGAACAGGAACTGCTTAATAGGGAATGAGCGGCGTAAAAAATTTTAATCTAATGTTTTTATGCATGCATTAAATAATGCATTGGTAAAACTCTCCTTCAAAAATTACTTAACTTCGTGAAAATCAGCATTGAAGTTTCCTGGTTATGCACGAAGGAATAGAAGCACTGCTCTATTGGACGTTAGTCCTTTACGGGATGCATTTTTCTCATGGTGATAAATTTCAGATTCCTAAGTTGTTTTAGGGTCGGCGACTCGCAGCTGAATCTTAACACACTAATCGGTTCATGCCCTTGTGCGGATTTCCTCTGGCAACAAACCAGTGGAAACACGCCTATCAAGTCGCCTCGCTTCCCTTTTTTTTTTCTCCCCTCGTTTCTAACTTTCACTCGGGAGAATAAGGAGGAACCAGCCGAGAGAGCCAGGAAGAGTGATTGCCAGCCTGGATTAGCACGCACTCTGCCAGGGCACTGATCAGGCAAGCTAGCAGTGGGTGCTTGCAGCCCTATTCACTTTTTCCTCTTCCTTTGGGAACGGGACCAATCCCGGGGAGAGAGGAGGGAAGGCGGGCCAATGGAAGACCCTCCCGTCGGTTATCGATTCCCACTACGGCATAGCAACATGCCAACAATCTCAGAATGGGCCGAGTATGTGCCGTAGCCGACGAGGAGGAGAGAAAGAGCATGTGTGAAGAGGATATCCCCTTTCTCGTTCTGATCTGCATCAATGGATTGCACAATCGATGGACCCGGTTGCTGCTGACGTTCATGCTTTCGAGCCCTTTCATCCCTGGAATTTGTTCGCATCGATTATCTCAGTCCTGTTGGCTTCCTTTCCTCCCGTCGATCACGCGGGGTACGAGTGCATCGTTGCTGATTCGCAGCTGAAGGTCACATCACTTTCATGAAAACTCAGGACCAGATCGATGCGATGCTGGCCTCTTGCCGTGTTTCAGTTAATATCTAATGAGAGGGGGTAATAACTTTCTCCAAAGTGAATCATATTTACTTGCGTGGGAGGGATTGATCTACTTGATCACGTGATTCACGTCTCCGCTACCCTTCTCTGCGGAGGTATCCCTGACGGCTACAGACATCTATCGGCGGCCTTCGAAAGTATCGTAGACCGGCTAAACAAGAGCAATCACCGCGATATCAAGCATTCCCCTCTTTTCGCTTATCTAGTTCCACTCTCCCATCTCAACGGTGCATCTTGAGGGATCACTGCATTCCGTTCTCATTCGCAGTTGGTAATGTTTTTCGATGACGACGAATTCCCCTGGGATCGTGGAAACACGCGAGGCTACCTTGGAAACGAGTGTGAGTGCGAGTGAGTCATCATGTTATATCTGACCGATACGAGGTGGAAGCACTGAGGAGAGAGACTGACGTTTTTCATACGAGCAAGGCCTTGAGCATTTCGAATTTCTCACAGTAGCAGGTTGTTATCACTGGGGACACACGAGCCCTTGGGCCGTCAGCTGTCCTCTCTCTACCAATCGAGAACCGGCTTTCATCCAGCCACGCAGCAACAACCAATCCCGTGAGGGCTTGCTGCCGAGGCGGCAGCACTACTCATTCACCATTTTTAGCGTAGACAGCGCAGCTCGTCGGTTCATTGCGAAGCGTCCGTCCGTTGGCTTCACCTGTGCTAGCATTCCAGCCGCACTCTCGCGCTCACATGCACTCACCCTAGTGTGTAGGTGCGTGTGTAGGCCTGTGTTCAAAGCCCTCTTTCTCTGTGTCAGCGAGACCGATTCCCCCAAGGCTACTTCACCGCGCCACACGTGTGGGACAAAGCTTTGCAGCCCCAGAAACCTCCAACATCCCCACGCCTACACACATGAGCTGATCATAACATGCCGAAGGTGCCCTTGTGCTGTGAAGTCTCCGGTTGCGTTCACTCGCGGCCGGCGCTCAGGAGTCCACAGGAGAGAATAATTTTCAGGCCTAGTTTAGGTGCAGCCTAGTGGCTATGTAGGGTTGTGATTCGTGGAAGATCCATATCTGTAACTTCGTGGAATTGGATGGGGTGCTGGAATTGGGTTACAAGTGTGAGAAATAAGTTAGAAATAATGGCGTTCTGCCATGCACGGAAGGTTGAGTGATTCCTGAGGTAGGTCCTATCGTGCATTACGATGTGGGGTGTGAGTGAACCAGCGTATACCCGCGTTACTCATCCGTGAATAGAATCACGAATGCTTTGCTATGATTCCCATGCAAGAAACGAGGCACTTGCGCTGAATCCTAATCGATTTCTTTTGGCTTCTCCGTACTTAGTACATGGAATGCCGTCCTAGGATATGCAAGGCATAGCAAGCAGAGGGGTTTAGGGCGCGTAGGTGGCTCCACTGCCATCTTACAGTTATTTACAAGATCGTAATTGTCCTCTGTCGAGACAGACCACTCGAAATTAACTCCCCTGGACCCTGCTTCAAATGCATATCATGCATTGTACTCGAGCTTATTACTTAGCGAATGACCATTTCTTTTGTTTTGAGAAGTCATCATAGAATAAGTAGCAAAAATGATATGTAATCGTGGAGGATTTGCCAACACTACGACAGACACGCTCGTGAAGGAAGTTTCAGGGGTAGTCATTAATAAAATAGTGCTGCAGACAGTGCTCAGTTTGAGCATCTCAGGTTAAACATGCTATAATTACATGTATTTATAATTCAAATTATTTCCCTTCTATGTATGGTATCCCATGCCTTACCTTGTAAGTTAATGTTATATAATATAGCATCACAGTACAGTTGTTTGTGTTGATTACTGTGTTTGCAAAAGCAGATGGACGAAAGTAAAAGTGCAAGTAAGGTAAGAATGGGAGTGTGGAGCCGAGGATGAATCGGAAGAGGGGACGGGGTGGGAAATCGTCATCAAGGGCGGGGAATAAACGAGCTGCCCCCGATACCAGTGATTCATATCCCCAGCCTTCCAAGAAGGTTCAGTCCAGAGAGAAAGAGCAGGAACCCGAAGGGGAAAAGAGTGAAAGCATGAAGTCTCCACACAATCCAGTAAACGAGCGCCCACTACCACCACCACCTCTTCCTCCTCCACCGGCGCGAATGAACCAGAATGGAGACGTGGAACCTCTTGGGAAAACGTGCACTTCCCCTTCTCTGAAGAAAGAGACTGCAGAGATGGTCCGCATGGTCCCAAAGAAGCGCAAATTTGATCCGTCTCAATTGGAAGAGTTCAGTCGGGACCCTGGTGCCATCCCAGTGACAGTGATTGGTGACAATCGCCTTCTGGATTCCAATTCTCGGGCCATCGTGGACCTGAGTAGTCCTGAACCGGGTCCACAACCTCGAACTTTGGAACCAAAGCATCCGTCACCGCCAAGGGCGGCAGAACCGAAGTATCCTTCGCCGATACCTAAGTATCCTTCCCCACCGAGACCCCTAGAGCATCGATATCTTTCTGAACCCAAGTACCACATGGTGGCCATTCAGAATCCGCTCCGTCCTCATCAGAACCACCACCATGCCACGCATGGAGGAAAACTGCCTTCTCCCTCGGCACCTCATCATAATGCCCTCCCGCCACCACCCCAAAGCCATGTACAGGCCTATTTGGGAGGAGGAATGACGACTTTGGAAAACGTGGTGCTCACAGACGGAAAAGTGATAGGAGTTCTGAATCCCCACGTTCATCCTGCGACGTCATCGACATCTTCTCCCATGGTTTCACCGACGAAACCCTTTGAACCTCAGAATCTTAGCCTCAAAGGCTATGCTCACCAACCGTTGCAGAAACCCAGAACGTTTTTTCCCGACCTGGATTTGACGGAATGGCGAGGGCAGAGGATCTTGGCTCGTCGAGGTGGTGTCTATCTCCCAGCCGTCATCAAACACGTCCATGGCAATTCCGACGTTGCAGTCCTCTTCGATAACGAACAGTACCCGGTGATTTATACAGATGTGTTCGGTGCGGGACGCCATGACATTCTGGCCGACTCAATTCCATCCAGATACGTCATCCGGCTCGAGGATCGAGTGTGTGTGAAATTGGACCCAGACGAGAACGTGTTTTCCGAGGCTGTGATAGCTGAGATCACGCCGAAGCCACTTCAGTACCGAGTCCGGATCTTGGGACAGGATCTCAAGAATGAACTCTGGGTGAGAAGACCGCAGCTGCGTTTGAAGCAGCCGCCTTGGTGGGACGACGTGGAGGGTGGAGAAGGCGGAGAAGCGCATCGACTTTACCTGAGACTGCAGCAAGTTTTTGTCAAAGTCCCACCGGGAACTCCGATCCAGGGTCACGTGAGTACGACCCCGAGTTCCGGATCTGAGGAACTCCGACGCTGTAAGTACGAGACCCTGGAGTACGACAGCGAGGATGAACTGCGCGGAAACTTTGGATCTGAACCAGGTTAGTATTATGTTGTAGCTTTTTTTTTCCTGCTTTCGTCCTCCGTCCAATGAGGTCGGAGTGCGTGGGAGCAGTGCTGATTCCAAGGAAGGGCCTTCCTCTTTTGTCTCGTTGATTGTGGGGAATTCCAGTCCAAGGAGGGATGGGACGAGAGCCAGACAAATGCAGGTTCATTGGCATCTACCATCCGGTTCAAGGGCAAATTATCCGAGACACAGCGTGCCCTGCCTTGGCTTCCTTTCTCGGTTCTATTGGACATTGCCCTATTAACCGTACCATAGAATCCCATTGGAATTCCAAATGCCCTTAAATGTTTCTCATCGTTTTGACATATCTTGTCATAAAGTACCCCTAATGTATGACCATGCATTGACCATAAACTGGGCATCGATTTACGACTAGGGCATCGAATAGGGTTTCCGCTTTTCTTCCCTCCTATGAGAAATTCCATCATTGGGGCCCGGTTCGGTGAATTGTGATTCCGTTGGCCCTGAAATTGAGGTCGACAACCTTCTTTTTTTGTGCGAGGGGTTCCAAGCCTCAGCTCCAGACGGTTAGGTGCTTCGGTTGCAAGGACGTGATTTATTCTCCCTTCTCTTTTCTTTTTGCCCCCTTTTGCGTGAATCGTCCTGGCTGTATCTAACCAGGTTCTCGCGCTGGCACGCGACATATCCGCTATCAAGTTGTCGAGGTCTGACTGATGCTCCTGTCAAGAGCAAGGCTTCCCACATGATGATGCATAAACTAATCTCGTGGTACAATGTAGACCCCCCCAGCACCGCCACCAAAAAAAACAAACGATGCGCTTCCAAATTACCCCCCTGTTG